CTTTTTAGTTTTCATTTTAAAGTTAGTCTGAACACACATACTGCGTCTTCTGTTTCCTGCCCAGCTTTTCAGATTCACGTGAGAAAATATTTTACATATTTTTGGAACCTGTTGCTGAGTCTTAAATGTATTTCAGTATTTACCAGCTTTGTGTTGTATTATTCTGTGCATACCAATATTACCCAACAGATTTGACTGAATTCCACAGTTCAATAATGTAGGCAACTTAAGGCTTCCTTTAAACTGTAATTTATATAAACTAGAGTAGGGTTGTATTTGGGAGTGACAGCAAGCATTTTTGTATTCATTATGCAACTGTTTCTAATGATGGATCCCTTCTTTTTTCCTTTCTGAGGTAATTGGACATGGTAGACTAGTTTCCAGGCTGGTAGACATTTTAAAAATGTCTGCTCATCAGACATAAATACAAAGGTGAGGGTATCAGGTCTTTGCAGTTTTAGGGATATATCAGAGTCCACAAACTCCCTGTGATTGGATTAATTGTAAAATGCTTACATTGTGTGAACTATTTGTTTTTCAGAAGATCTTTGAGTGGAGGATTCCTATCAGTGCTCTACAGGAGTAAACAAAACTAGTTTTCTAAAACTGTTTTCTTCAGTTTTCGGACTAACTAGGTTTTTTCTTCATATATTTTAGTTACTTTGAAGCTTGATTTGATCCTTGTTGAAGCACCAAAAAAACAAAACAAAACCACCTATGTAAACTAGTTAGAACGCCACAAAAAATGCACATTTTTTTATATAAGGCTTTCTAATAAGTTTCACTATTGCATCTTTTTAGCTTGCTGTTTACTCCCTTTTGTAGTTTTACCTACAAGATTAAGATAAACCAGCTAAGTCTGAGTTAAATATTAATCACAGTTATAGCTTTACCTTTGTGTGCAATTTAAATATGTTTGAAACCACAATTTTGGCATAGTTTGCCTTAGCTAACATTCAGGGCTTTAGAAGTAATCTCTTGCTAGGTCACCTTTAGCAAATTTATGAAGTCTACTGCCCTAGAGAGCTATAGTCAACCAGAGGACCATTTTTGTATTGTTATCTGACTATATAAGTCTGATGTACTGTATGTGCTAATATATTATTATTCCTTTTGTTATAGATTGTCCTAATGGCAGGTAAAGCAATAAAAATGATTTAAATTCTTAAATGCAATCTGTCTTTTTTTCCCCCCTTGTATCTTATTTTGCTGTGGTGTTCAGGGATGAATTGTTAATCGGTTGTAGGAAGCTAAGTAGCTTAATACATTAGCTTTTTACCTCTGCAGACTTGAGTTCAAATCACAGCTTCTCACAGATGAGAATTC